CTCTTCTCCCGACTGGTTTCGGCAAGAGTTTGATCTATCAATTGGCTCCTCTTCGTCGTCGCTCTGTTAGTACGTCATATGCTTCGTCATATGCGGAGCAAATCTATCTGGCGGAGTCAGGTTAGGTGTGGGGACCCCCTTATTATATATATTATATGAAATTGTTTCCTATAGTCCTTCTATTACATATGGGGTAATGTAACGTAAATAATCCCTCCCTGGGATTATTAAAGTATTTCTGATTCCTGGTTGATGGGACAGGTGTTGTGAATAAAATGGTGCTCAGCTTTAAAGAGCTCCTGTGTGTCGCTGAATGAGTGCATTGATGACTGAAAGCCATCTTCTGCCTCCATTTATCTGTTTACTACAGTTAGTTGAATTCATGTTAATGTGAATTTAAAGACATTTCAATTAGTGGAAAAAATTGCAGGGGGGAATATAAAAAAAAAAGTCTAATCAAGCAAAACTTCCGCGACCCCCACGCAGTACCTCCGAGGACCCCCTAGGGGTTGCAGACCCTCTGTTGAAGACCTATGTCTTCTAAACTAGAACTTAAATCATTGTTTGCTGCATCGTGTTTAGTAAGACCAAATATGTGTGATGCCATTTCTTTGTCACATTTGCTTCAATTTTATTGTTCTAATATTTTTGGCTTGATTATGTATTTAATATTTGCTCACTTTTATATGATGCTTTATTTGTATATTTAATTTATTCTCTTTTCCTTTGTGTTTTTTTTTCTAATTGCCCTTTGTATAAATGGTCCTGATTAAATAAACTTGCTTTGCCTTCAGTTTACCTTATTTAAAAGAGCAAGTTTGAAACATATTATCTATGTTCAGGACAGAAAACAGTGCACTCAGCTGGAACTCCACGTCTAGTCAGGGATTTCCTGTTCATTCATCCGTTAAGCAATTAATTACTGTTGTGACTTTATGTTATTTAATATTAAATCAAATAACCTTTTCACTGACATGTGCCATCATCTGAGCACATGCTCAACTGGCTGTTTGTTAGGAAGACTAATAAAAGTGGGATTTGAGATCAAATCATGTTCAAACAGTTACAGTAACTCTGCTCAAATATAGAAGAGATTTCAGTTTTAATAGTATCTGTAGAAACTTATATGCTGCTGACCTCTTTTCCAGGTCTGTCTTCCAACAGAGATTTTATATCTCAAATTTACTAACAAAAAAATAATAAACTCCAAGTGGAACATATTTCAGAGAAAAATTCAACTTTACAAGTGAAACTCAAATAAGTTAGAGAA